CAGGCGAAACGTCAGGAGAAAAATTGCCTCCAGAACATGGCCGTATAGCCTGGAAAAACCTACAACAACCCAGTGTCTAAAGAACTGTTATCATTAAAATTGAGGGATTTTTTTCCCCCTGTAAGAGTAGTTCTTTTGAACAAAATACATACATTTGTGTACTATATCTAATATTGTCAGTGCAATCATTATAATATAACCTATTATGCTCTACAGCAGGGGTCCCCAAACTAAGGCCAGATACAGCCCTCCAAAATAATTTACCCAGCCCTCGCTCAGCATCAACCTATGTCTGAAACTACTTGAAAGCACACAACAACAACAACAATCTTATCTCATCAGCCAAAAAAGCAGGTCCACACTTCTCACTGAAATACTAATAAGTTTATATTTGTTAAAATTGTTCATAATTTTAATTATTGTATTGTTTTTAAGTGTTTGTGCACTACAAATAAGATATGTGCAGTGTGCATAGGAATTCATTCATGTTTTTTTCAAATTATAATCCGGCCCTCCAACAGTTTGAGAGACTGTAATTTGGTCCTCTGTTTAAAAAGTTTGAGGACCCCTGCTCCACAGTTATTGTAGACTGTTTGTCTTATGTACAGTGGTATATTCAAATTAAAAAGCAATATCTGCACTCTGCCTAGTAAATGTTAGTAAATCGCAGTAACACTCAGGACCCTTCCACACAGCCATATAACCCAGAATATCAAGGCAGATAATCCACAATATATGCTTTCAACTGGGTTATCTGAGTCCACACTGTCATTTAAACCACTTCAATGTGAATTTTATACAGCTGTGTAGAATGGGCCTAGCTGTGCTGGTCTGGAATATCGGTGTGCAAACAGATCTTGGCAAAAGTATGATAGCTGGGACCCTACGCTACACTAATTGCGCAATGCAGCTCAGAATTAATGAAGGGAAGATGTGCGCAAGACAGTGGAACGAGTGAGAGACGCAGCTGTGACAGGATAGCAGTGAAATAATTTAACTCAGGTAGGAGAGGATAAGGGTGAAGTAATGTAAGAGTTATTCAATGTTAAATGATAAAAAATGGCTTACGAAGATGGTAAATAGGATAGAAATGTTACCTCTCCCCCTTTCTGGCAAGCAATGTTGCCACGACTCTGATGCAGCTGCGTCTCTCACTCACTGCGCTGTCTCATGCATGTGTTCCCCTCATTAATTCAGACCCGCATTGCGCAACCAGCATAGGGTCCCAATTATCATACTTTTGCCCAGATTTTATATTCCTTTAAAGGCAGATGGTAGTTATCTACTCATCATGCCTTAGAAAACACCTTTCCTCCTGTCTTTACCCAGAACAACCACATTAATACTGAACTTGTCATCCCATCACAACACCCATATATTTTGCATTACTATGTGACTTTAGTTCTGAGATACTTCATTTCTGAGCAAAGATATGACGGGTGCATTGATGCTGTGAGTTATTTTGATTTCCGAACATTTTAGGAACTATTTTTAGTTACTTTTAAATCTTTGTACTGTTTTACAACTGCTGGTGGATTGGCTGTTAATTGTACCTTGGCTAGAAATACTCAAAACTTGGAATAAACTTATCAATAAATAATTGTTTAAACAAGATATGGGCTGTAATCCTATCAGATAAGTCAAACTAAAAATTAAGAGTAACAAAAGGAGAAATAAAAGACTTATTTGATATTACATGCATTTTTTTAAATCATAAGTATCAAGGCAATGGAGAATTTAAACCATTGAGCAATCAATGGTTTAAAAATGGTTTTGAAAATAGTGTGTTATGATTTAGGTTCATTTGGAACAGGGGGGGGGATTGCAGTAATAGTGATACTACCACAATTTCGTTAAATCTTGTTATAATATTTTTCTTTGTAAATTATTTTTATTCAAACATACAAACAAAGAAGAACATACTTCTAAAATACAACATACAATGAAATTAAAACTATCACAAAATAATATTTCATTATATACAAAAGGAACGATCACATCTTTATGTACAATATGCAGCCTATACAAAGTCTTAACAAATACCTACTAAACTAACCGAAAAGCCTCCCACTCACTGATTTTAACTTATTTGTTGGTCCCTTAAATATCAATTTATTTCTACCTTTCTACTCCTAGTATCACTAATAATTGAAAAAGATGTTATTAAGGTTTTTATCTAGCTTTTACTACCAATTTATATTTTCATGTTTTAATTTGCACACTGTCCAGAGAAGATAGTTGATGGACAGTTTTAAAATGTAATTTAAAATTGAATTCATGCAAAAAGATAGTCATACTAACTCATAGAAAGAGCCACACTGTTGTCATGTCCACTGAGAGGGAACAAAATATATGTGGTGCCATTTGAACTGACCCCAACACTTGGACCTGCCTTTTTTTAAACAATAATTTATCATTTTCTGAGCAGCTTGAATATAAATTATATCCCATTCAGCAAGTTTAATATGACTAAACTTGCTTATATTGAGTTTCAGTAGAAGAGCAAAGCTCTAGATAAGCAAGCTTGGTCCTGTTAAACTTGTTAAATGTGGTTTAGTATTGTAAAAAAAGCTCCACAACAGATTTGCTCAAAGAGTCAGCATAGTGTCATAGTTGGAGTGTTAGGTTATGATTTTGAAGATCAAGGTTTGTATCCCCACTATGAGTTTTCCCTCCCAGAAGTATAATGTTCAGAAATCAGATGTGGATACTAAGCATATTACTATAACCAATCACAAAATATACTAAATACAAGACACACTGGAGAAGGATATTGTGTGCTCTGACAAACAAAAGTCTTTCATCCGATGAAGGAACACATTTTTTTTAAAAAAAATATTCTAAATGTTTTGGCTAAATTAACTAAGGACTTCATCACATGCAATAAAATCAGCATTTCTACACATTTAAGAAATGGCTACTGACAGACCCCATCACAAGATGCAAGCTCGTACCATGGGTTCCAGGTATTTCACCATTTCTAAAGTGTGACTTTTTCCTATGCTTCTGTTGCAATCCAGAGCAGGGAACGAGGCCCTCAGATAACTATCCACCACACTTAGCTGTGAAAAACAATCCTTTTTTATTGAAGAAAAATGGTTACAAAATAAAGGAAAAATGCAAGTCAAAAGCCACAGCAAAATCAGCAAACATGAATTTAAATGGACAAAGCAAAACCAAAAGTCTCACTGGGAAAATACTGGAATCTGTTAGCAATCCACTAACCGTACTTGATATCCTAGAAATCTTCCCAAACTATGGCCAGGGAACCGGGAGAACTGCCAACGTCTTCATCAATTCTGAAACGATGCCCGAACTGAGGCAATCAGCCTGGCGTATTGCAATTAAAACTCAAGAATCGGTTCCGTGAACCGCCCTTCTGTTTTGAAGCCAATGTTTTTAATTCTTGAATTCGGGAGGATCTACGCAAACTGAGTGTTTTACTTCTGTCTTCCCAAATTTGGCCCCTTCTGTTGTCATTACAGTTAACAGGTGCAGAAGGGAGGGAAAGTTCAAGGTCTCCCTCTGAAACATTCTCAGGAACACTGGTACTTTCATTTTCCAAATCTACAGAAGTTCCTTCCTCACTAATTTCAGGAACATTGGCATTTTCCAAACCTACAGCAGTTTCTTCCTCACTAATTTCAGGAGCATTGGCATCAAAAGGTACATTTCCACTAGCATCAGTAAATATACTTTCATTAGCATCAGGAGGAACAAACAGAGAATCAGGTTCAAGTTCAAACTCAGGCTGAACCCCAACAGCTTCCTAAGCCAATGGCAATTGACTTCCTTTTCAATTCTCCACATAGAGGCATGTAAAAACTCCTCATTTACCAGGTGATGGGACTTTCCCCTTGTCTGCTTGTAAAGATAATGATGACGTCCTCATCGAGGGACAAGCCGAAATGGGCAGCATTGATTCCTTTATTCCACCATTACCATTTTGGGACCGAGGAGGAAGGAATTTATATCTCCTTTTTAAACATAAAATAAATATATTTACATTTTGAATTGAGCAGTATCTGTACTTAGGAAGAGAAATTGTAATATCCAAAGAGGAGGAAGGAGATAGTGGGAGGAGAAACATGTCTCTTGTGGGATGAGAAGGCAAACAAATAATTAGAAGAAAGCGGAAAGAGAGAAACCATGTTAGGAGGGTCGGAAAATCATCCATTTAATTTCAAAACAGAGCTTTGTGAAGCTAAAAGGAAAAGACAATGACCCCAAATGTTTTTCTTATCCTGTTGGATGAATTCCTATGTATGTTCTATTAAATATACTATATCAGCCCCATTCAACCTGTGACCTATGAAGCTAACCACAGCTCTACAGTCAACTATTTTAGGCAGCTATGTGTTTTCAATTGTTCAATGTTAATCTTTTGAATATCAGAATAAAATAAAATCCTGGAGATTTATTAAAGCTTTAGAGCAAACATGTCAAATGCAAGACCTGTGTGCTGAATCCGGGTCGCCATGTCGTTTTATGTGGCTTGCAAGACTTTCAGTGTCAAGCCAACATAGTTATAACTATACAGTTTTACAATTACAAATGGCCCTTTGAAGGCAACCATAAGGTTGATGTGGCCCTTAATGAAAATGAGTTTGGCACTCCTGATTTAGAAGATTCCAGATATAATGGTTGGCTACACATGGAGTGGTGAGTCACAATCTAAGATCAGCTAGTTGATTCAAGTTGCTAATTTTCCAAGAAGTAGCTCACATGGGGCACTACTTTCAAAGAGAAAATATGTGTGAAGTTATGGAACACATATTTTGGAAGTATTGGACATGTTTAGATAGAAGAGGCAATATCATAAAAACCAGTTCAGGCATTATTAAAACCAATTTCATACTGGACATAAGTGAGTGCCTAAATCAGACTTTTCCACAGTTATTTTCCATATACAGAAAGCAATGCTTCAGAAGAAAAAAGATTCTTGTTCACATGGAATCTTGACTTCCCCAAATTTTTATTCAGGTGGAGAGCTACCACACCACTTCATCTTCAGATGTATTGCTGAGGGTATTGTGACTGGATTCTCATTTTAATTCTGTCTTGAAGAAAGCATGGTTTGTAGTATCTAAGCCAGACCAAGCTTCTTTACTGATAAGTAAAATATTTTGGCATTTTTTTACAGTTGTATTTTCACTTCCCAGAATTAGAAGAAAAAATATTGATTTTTGGCTATGTTGTAATATGGTAAGGCTTTCACACTGACAAGTTTTCTTGGAATTTATCCTAAAGTCTTTCAGCATTCATTTAACATATTAACTGTTGCCTGCAGAGTCAACCACCTACTAATATGGTAATTTTACACACAATCAGCCTTCTTCTAATATCTCTATGGCTTTTTAAAAGGATGATGATAAACCTCTGTCGAAATCCCACATGAAACCATCAACTCTTTGTTTCATTTTGTCAAAATACAGTGGAGCTATTCCACATTATGCTAGGATATTAGTACCCTGCATAAGCATGTCAAATAAAGGAGATTAAGAGGTTTATATCCAGCTATATGAAATGGGAAACCATTTTCTTCATTAATACTTTCCTAACGATCTTCCACATCTAGAACTCACAGTGAAGCTCACACTTCTTTTGGTAACAGTACAAACCCTAAATTAGATCTCTATCACAGAACTATCTCAATATGGCTGCTCCTTTTGAAGTGACCCAGCACAGGAGATGTTGCAAGGCATGAAGTATTTATTTATTTATTTATTTGCTTTATTTCTATACCGCATTTTTCAGCCCTTAACAGGCGACTCAATGCG